TCGAGCCCCAAATTTAGTACAGGGCAGCGGAGCTAGTAGGGGCGGCAGGAAAAGAGAACAAATGCCATATCCCAGGTGGTGTTGGGCACTGTACTTGCCCGAAAGGCGTCTCGTCTGTGCGTTGTCGCTATGGATATTGAGCGGAAGCTCGACTACCCAGCCACATCAGCAACACAATGGACAGACTAAGGGACACAGGTGGATCTTGAGGTTTAGGGTACAACTGTAAGCGTAAGAAAGCGACAGAGAACGTGGAGGCATCGTTTGGTCGATCTTCGAAAATTACCAGCCCACCAGTCGCGCCTTCCTAGATGAGCTCGCGCCTGTACAATACCATGATTCAGCAGAGCACTTCGATACAGTAAATGGAGGGAATACGCACTTGAGCTGTACGTCCACCAATTCGTGATTCTCCCTTCAAGATCGTGAGCTGGACACTCGAACTACGGAGAACGAACTGGTCGGAGCCGAACCGTTGTGTATACTGGAAGGAAGCAGCTCGCGTTAGCGTAGCTGTCGACGAGGACGAATAAAGGGAAAACGTACCAAACACAGGCGTAAAGCCCCATGCCTCTGTGATTGCTGCTGCGACAGTCCCGCAGCCCGCGCCCCGCCCGAGCAGTTAATGACTGCGTATCCCATCATTGGGAACTTGTGAGAACTGGGCCTCGAGGCTACTCGGTGCACCGGCAAGGGGGAGTTGCACGACCTCGTGACGCGGGAAGAATGTTGTGTTGTACGCAACTACCTGATCGAGTTCTGCGAGCGGGCTCCACTCGCATTGCTTACCAAATTTCGCCTCGAAATACCTGTCAAAATATGTATCGGTTTTGTCTCAATCGCCCACAGAAAGCGCAATAGGACTCGGCCCAACTCAGAACTGCCGGACGAGCGCCTCGGACCTCCCCCGTACGGAATATTACTGTCATTTTCCACACACGAGCCACCGATGGAGTGGAGCTTGTCAGCAGAGACTTTCTTGCCGATGCGCGTGAAGAGAATACTGTGGGATGTTGCGTCGTCAGCACCGGTGGTAGCTGTAAGCACGAAGAGGGACGACGAAAGGTGAATGTGACACAACGATGACTAATTGTGACTGATGAAAAAAAGAATAGGAGCAACGGCCAGCAGGGAGGAAGGCTGGAGGAAAGCGAGGCCGGAGTCCGCAAGGTCAAGGGAAGGAGAGAACGACCGCTCAAGCCGTTTATACTGCTGCGCCTGGCTACACGCGAGTCGATGCTTCGGATATCTGAGAGTCTATCTCTCGGATTCTCTCCTCCAGTCTCAGACCCTTCATGAACGCGCCTTTTTTTTTGCTGAGTGACGCTATACGACCAGAGCCAGACTGATCGATGTGCCAGCGGCAGCTGTGTGGAGAGACAAGTCGGTGCCCGCGTCGCGAAAGACGAGAACAAGAACGAGGAACGCATGTGCTGTCGGCATTCGATTCGGGGCGTCTAAAGGAGGCGAAAAAAAAGTAAATCATTATAGCATGTCGGAGCGGTAGAAAACACATCTATATCATCTATATCGCCCACTACTAGCTCCCACCACTCGAAAAGCCCGCGCGAAAGCCGCCTGGGGCGTAGTTTCAGTATTCACTACGTTCCGCGGGCCCCTAGGCAGACACCTACGCAGACCTACGCAGACCTACGCTCAGTTTGTCTAACTGAGCGTAGGTCTGCGTAGGTCTGCGTAGCCCCCTAGGCACAGCCCTAGGCACAGCTAGGCAGATCTGCCTAGCCGTCTAGGCAGACCTACCCAGACCTACGCTAACATAGGCACAGCTATGCCTAGGAGGCTGCGGAACGTAGTGATTCCCTGCCTGCCCGTCATGCAAGATGACAGACATCGTATCAGGCCACACACGTACGCCGTCCGTTGCCACCGTACCCGACCAGATGAGCATGAGGGTCGCGTATGGGACGGCGAGCGGAAACAGAGGAGAAAAGGAAGAGGAGAAAGAAAGCGAGCCGAGACGGGGAGGAGGTATTCAGAACGTAAACATGAAAGTCAAGAGGCGCATCTGTGCGCGGCATTCAGACACATGCAGAAGGCAGCGCCTCCCAAATCGCGCCGCGGCACTATCACGTCGACGCACGCCGAGACTTGCTCAGCCGGCGCGCGCAAGAAGATAGGCGGACGACGCGTACACCAACGATGACGAAGGCAAGGCGCGGCACGGAAATACCGCGCCGTCGCGCAATGGAAGCGCGTTCTCGATCGCTCAATGGGCCACCAACTCCACGAGCAACACACCGCCGCCTCCACGAGCGCGCATCGCACCATCCAGAGCAGGACGCGCAGGCCCCCGAGCGCACAATGCGCGACGGCACAACGAGCGTCCGCCACACCCGCGCCTGCACGACCTCGCCGCACACCCTCCCAGCCCCGCCAACGGCGCCGCGCGGCGTCCCCCACGATAAGTACACCCACATATCGACATGCACCACGAGTGCACAGGACGCGGCGCACACCGTCCGCGCAGCGTTACCGACGTTGACGCCGCGGGTCCCATCTCGACGCCCCCGCCAGCCACTCGCATCTCCACCTCCTGCACGATGGATGAGAGGTTACGATTTCGCAGGCGGGGGTGCGAATGGGGAGGACGCCGTGCGTCTCCGGCCCACCACCACACGCTCGATGAGGGACCGATCCCGCACAACGAGGGGACCGATCCCTGCCTGAGCGGGATTGCGTGTGCGTCCCTCAAGTCGGGCGACGAGGCACGTCCCTAAGTACGACTTGGCCCCGCAGCATCACCCGCACACCTCCACCTCCTGCATGGTCGACGAGGGACCGATCCCGCAGGGCGATCAATGAGGGAGGACGACGCGCACCATCCGCGCAGGGGCTTCAGTCGCAACGCAACGGGTCCTGCTTCGACACGACGCATTGGGGCGCACACCGACACCACCACCTCCCCCCGAGCCCGCTGCGGTCAGAAGGGGAGGGGGCGGTGACGTGCGTCCCTGAAGCCGGACGACGTACGTGGGTCCTCAAGGCGCACATAGGCGAAAAGAACAGGCGAGAAGAACAACGTTAAAAGAGGAAAGGAAACTAGACGGTGTTGATGAGAGACCGATCCCGCACGCTCGACGAGGGACCAATCCTGCAGGCGGCGGCGCGTTGCGTCCTCAAGGTCGGACGCATGCGTTGCGTCCCTCGCGTCGGATGACGTGCGGTTACGCCCTCCAGGTACGCGCAGGCAAGAGCCACAAGATTGAAAGAAAGAAAGGAAGGAAGGAAGGTAGGGAGACGATGTTCGACAAAAGGGGCGCTCGCATGCGCTGCACCAAGCTGAATCCGAATCGCACCGCGCGGCGCCGAGGAGCGAAACAAGGGGCGCACCGCAGGGAGTCAGAGCGACGTGCCCCCGACGCCACAGGGATGGACGACCACGGGGCAGCGAGTCGGATCGAGAGCGCGTGGGCGCTTCTGAACCACCGATGGATTCCGATTGCGAGCGCGGGAGGCAGAGGAAAGAAAGAAAGAAGCATAGAAAACGCAGGAAACGAAGGGGACGCAGGGCAAAGGGGGGAGGTCAAGGTGGAGGGGATGAATGAATGAGTGATTGAAAGGAAGATTGGGAAGATCGAGGAAAAATAAGAAAGAAAGCCGCTTATGGGAATAAAAAAAAACACGCACCCAAGCCTCCCCAGCTCCTCCTCGCCCATGCGCATGAACGCACGGCCGTCCACGCGCGCGCATCGCCACCGAGGTACGCGGCCAGCTACGCAGGCGTCCAGCGGTTGGGGGACGTGCCGTTGTTTATTCCTTTATTGTCGGGTATGGTGTCTGTAGCGGGAATATCAGATTGGGAGGAAAGTAATAGGGAATAGACCAAGAGAGGAGCGTACCCAACCCAGGCGGCACCAGCAGGGCTTTTGGGCTCTCTGCAGCGACACCCCCATACATCCCCTCGCTCGAGCTTAGGCTGCGCGAGTAGCGGTGCCCGCGGTACTCGCCCTTCCTCTCGCCCCCCGCCTTCCCGGTGCTGCGCCCGCCATTCCCATCCCCGCTAGCACTGGCGTTACTACTGGTTCTCTCCCGGTGGGGCGACGGCGGCGGCACGTAGTGGTGCCTCCCCCCCATTCTGCTGCTGCGAGCTGGTGGAGTTGGAGCGCGTGAGGAGGGCAGTGGATGTTGTGCGGATGGGGTAGGGGTGTGCGTTGGGCTTGAGGTCGTCGATGCTGGGACTGCGGTGCGGCGAGCCTATGGGCATAATCAATAAATTAAAGCGATAGCTCTCGCAGTAGTAGGTATGTACCTCCACCAGGGGAGTCAAAGAGTGAATTGGTGCGCGACCGCGGGGTGGGCGAGCTATTCACATTCGTGGTGTTGTTGTTATTGGTGCTATTATCCCGAAACCGGGACGTGGTCGGCGACTTTGTGGGCGAGGCGGGGCGCGGAAAGGCGAGGGGTACAGGGCTCGGGCTGGATATCGTCGACATCGTTGGTGTCGTCGTCCGTCGTCGAAAGCTCAAGCCTCAGATGAACGAGCACGACGTCAGTCTCAGTGGGTGGGAGAAAGAACCAGCCGGAAAAGGAGTTGCTTGATTTGGTCATGATTGGTTGGAAAGCCGGGAGTTGCCGGCTCGGTTTTCAAATTATGGTGAGGTATTAACGTATACTAAGCGTCACACATATCTGCGGCATAGATAGTGCAGGAAAGCCTCGGTGGATCATGGTGGATCGTCCCTGTTACTTTAGCGAGCTGTACGAGTTCTACAACGGGAAGATGGGGGTTCGAATCCCTCTCGAAGCATGATAAATATGTGATGTTGCATACTTTTTTTTTTATGCAACACATTACGCGGATTATTTTCTCGCTGTAAAGTAACTGCCTTTCTGTACAATACACATTGTTTTGCGCGCGACCCAGATAAACTTCACTTGAACTCAACCTCACCGACTGATCGATATTTTATTCGGGGCGGTCTACTATTTACAACCCCCTTTCGCACTTACAACGCCTATCCTCAAATAAGAGCAGGAACGCCTCGGTGGATCGTTGGTTGATCATCCCTGTTTCGTGTGCATAAGGGATCTCTGTTTCATGGGAAGACGAGGGTTCAAATCCCTCCCGAGGCATTACTATTTCGTATGCCTCTTTTTTCCTCACCTTATGTAGTTTTTTCTGCATCAATTTTACATTAACTTCGTGCGGTTCTATCCATTCAAGGACGTGATTAACTAGCACTAGGAAAGAGTCCGCGGTAATGTCATTCATTAATTCTGATGGTTGAGTCGCTCAGGTCTACAGCTCGAACAGAATTCAATGCACCCACCCAGCCTCGAAAAACAGAGAATAAGCCTCGGTGGAGCAATTGGCAGATCATCCCTACCTAATGAAAGCTCGATGCAGTATGTACGTGGGAAGACGGAGGTTCGAATCCTCCCTGAGGCATGATGTTAATTCGGTGGATGACTTTTTGTTTTTGCTCTAAGTATTTTTTCTCCATCATGCAACAGTCTGTGCGCCCCTACATGTGTAGAACTGTGCAAACTTGAACCTGGGATACTGAGTGCATTTCTTCCCTTAGCCATGATATATTTGGTCAATGGTCGACAAGGTTGTTCGAATCCCTCCCAACGACGCGAAGCCTTTTTTCATAGCTTACACCTGGCAGGATTTTCTCGCTTTAAAATAACCATCTCTATTTACACACTCCACATTTCCCCACTCACAACCCGGATAAACTTTATGCGTTGAATTTATGCAAACCACGGACTGATTGATATTATCACTCCGGGCGGTCTAACTCATTAAAAGCCGCACTTGCAATCCGGCCAATACCCAACCTCAAATAAGAGTAGGAACGCCTCGGTGGATCGTTGGTAGATCATCCCTTCTCCGTTTGGGAAGTATTTCGAAAATAAGACTATCATGGGAAGACGAGGGTTCGAGTCCCTCCCGAGGCATGATAGTAGGTTTTTTTTACGTCAATTTTACACTCCATTCCAGGCTAGTCCCATCACGGGGGTCAGAAAGTTGGTACGTAATCGCGGAGTTTGAATTTCGTCGCGATCCATATTCAATGAAAAACGCGTCTTTTCATTTGAATCCTGCGCAGGCGAGAGATTCATATATGCATATGAGAATCTGCCGCTTTAGATTTTTCATCCTGCTTTCCTAGCTTTCAGTATAAGATCACAGGAATCGATGTGACTGACTGGTCAATGACCAGCTGTAGGTTGAGGATAGAAAAAAAAAGCAATCAAATCCCATATATTTCATAATATGTGTGCGATTTGGTATTATATCATCAGGATAGCAGAACCTCGAGCGTACGACTGTGCGATAAGATTTCAAACTCCGTCATTAAAGCGTCTGTCTACGAGAGACTAATTCCAGGCATCTATAGCCTTGCTGAATTTGCAGCCACTAAATTTAATGGTCCCCTCCCCTCTGACCAGTCAACCCCCACGCTCTCTACATGTCGGCAAAACAGAGTTAGCGTTCGCGGTAAATTTCCTCACGAGGAATGACTGAACTCACCTAGTATATCCGCGCAGCGCAGAAATACCCCGGCTTCGCACACCCCTTACTCTTCTTCTTGCACGTCGACAACGCTAAACTGGCCGCCTTGCTGCCATCGTTTTTCCCATACCCGCGCGCGTACGACAGTGCCACGTACGTCGAGCCGTAGTCGATGCCGACACAGCCCTCCTCTATGCACGAGTAGGACGAGCAATCGCTCTTCCCGCATTTCTTCTTTGCGTTCGTGAGGGAGGAGGACTTTGAACCGGCCCGGTACCACCCGTAGCGGCCAGTCGATTTGGATACTGCGATGCAGACCCAATACTGGGTGCTTGCAGCGACCTTGACCGCGGCGTCCTTGTTGGCGGAGAGCGAGGAGGCAGGCGGGGCGTCGATCGACCCGTGGACGTCGAATGCGGTGAAGCCGTGAGGGGCGGGATGGGTGGTTACGTCGGAGGTTTGGAGGGCTGGCGAGCCAAGAACACCGAGGATCCCCGACGCGGTGAGGGTGAGAAGAGAAAGAGCGAGTTTCATTCCGGCGGTTAGGGGGGATGGATGTCCTGCTATTTGGACGACCTTTTATGCGATCCGGATCCACAGCCAGGGGCTAAAGCGAACCGAGATTTAGGGTACTTTATGTAATGAAAGCCGATTACTATCACTGCGCTAAACGTTGAGAACAAGACGAGGAGTGGGTAAGAATCAGTATGTATAAGATAAGAATCGGCACAGCCCTCTGTCAGATTCTTGCAACGAACCGAATTACATCTTCCAAGCAAAGATTATGTGGCGGGAAAAGGAGGTTGATGTACCGTCGCCCACTACCCACACTGTATCGAATGCCTACCCGCCCACCATCTGCTCACATCGACCCTCTTGTCAGCGCTATCTGCCGATCTTTCCATTCATAATCTACTCATTTTTACTGTCGATCGATCTAATCATCCAATTATTTACTCACCCGCCACCTTCGTGCGTGTTTGCTGCCATGTGGCGGCTCATCCCTGAAACCCCCACATCAGCAGCCGTATTAATTTTGATCATGATCAGGTTTCAACTTGTAGGTAAAAGTTGCGGTTAGGGAGAAGGATAATTCTATTCAGAAAGCCCGGTTGCAGACCAGAGGCATGCATAAGACTGTCTCTTTTTCCTCACCCTATGTAAGTTTTCTGCATTAATTTTACATTAACTTCGTGCGGTTCTATCCATTGAAGGAGTGATGAACTAGCACTAGGAAAGAGTCCGCGATAATTTTATTCATTAATTCTGATGGTTGAGTCGTCAAGCAAAGGCAGGTCTACAGCTCGCACAGAATCCACTGCACCCACTCAGCCTCGAAAAACAGAAAATAAGCCTTGGTGGATCAATTGGCAGATCATCCCTCATCAGTGCTAGCCCACAATCCTCCACGAATATACGGGAAGACGGAGGTTCGAATCCTCCTCAAGGCATTTAATATCAATACTTCCGTTTTTTTTTGCAATTGCGGCTCTATCCTTCCTTCCTTTGCGGTTATTACTGGTTCCGGAGCCTCGAATTTCAAGCTTGACGCAATGCTGTAAAACGCCTTACTGTTCCTGGATCGAAAATACTGGCCGCGTGATTTTTAGCTAGACAGAAAATCATCCAAACTCGCATCTACCTATGCAACCTCCACTTACAGAGAATAAAGCCTTGGCGGGTAAATTGGCAGGTCGTCCCTACTCAGTGGATCGAGGTACGAGCGAGCTTTAACGTTTCAATGGTTGTATCGTCTGTCTAGGAGAGACTAATATTTCCGTCTTTCCACCGTCACAAGTCCCAGGCCATCAGGTATCGAAACCTTGGTGAATCAATGGGCAGATCATCCCTACCTAATGTGATCGTGGTGCCGGCGTACGTGGGATGACGAGGTTCGAATCCTTCCAAGGCATTGATCGACTCTTGAAATGGTTTGTTGTTCTTGCCTGGATTTTTTTGCATCGTTTCAATTCCTGTGCCGCTCTACGAGCTCAGATGTAGAATGGCCAAGCCAATTGTAGTCCACATTCGTTCGCTTTCTGCTCAGATATTTGGTTGATCGGCAAGGTTGAAATCGGCCTGCACCAGCACGAAAATGACTGCATTTATCCAACCTCCATAGAAATGTCAAATAAGCCTTGGTGGAACACTGGCAGATCTTATATTCCAAATTGTTCTATGGAGTCCGTGGGAAGGCGGAGGTTCGAATCCTCCCCAAGGCATACACCAAGATGTTCGGCGATTTTCGATCTTGCCTTTATGTTCCCCGTGTTTCATTCGAGAATCAGAACATGCCAGCCTGTGCATTCATCTACACATGTAGAATTGTCAAACTAGTTGAAGTCCCCATTGCTTCAGGTTTTGGTTTGCTCATATTCAAATATTCAAGCGTAGCTTAGAAGGTTGAAAACGGACATGCGCACAAAAATCACTGCACCTATCCAACATCCAAATGTAATGAATAAGCCTTTGTGGATCAATTGGCATATTATCCTAGCGTAAAATGAGAAGAGTCGTGGTTCGTGGGAAGACGGAGGTTCGAATCCCCCTTAAGGCATGTTGATAATTTCAAAGACTTTTTGTTCTCATTTTTTTGTTTTCTTCATCGTTTCAGTTCTTCCGAAACACGCCAGTCTGCGTGTTCATCTACATACACATGTAGAATTTCCAAACGAGATATATACAAGTCAATCTGCATGTAGATGTCCAAACCAACTGGAGTCAACACACTTTTTTTTTGTCATGTACTCAAATATTCGACCATAGCCAACACGCAATACACATAAAATTGGCAGAAACCACCGCACCTATTCAACCTCGAAAGGTCGACAATGCAGGCAGGCGACCATAGTTACAGCCTGCTTTTTCCGAACCTTCATTCGTGAGCGCGCGCAGAATGGGGAAGCATAGATAGTCACTGCGTTCAGGCTCCAGGTAGCCGAAGCCATTTTTAGGCGCTGCTAGGCGAGGCGAGGCGCCAAAATTCGTCGTCTAGCTTCGGCTAGGCTCGGCTAGTTGCCGGTCACGGTCACCTCGCCACGCCTAGCAGCGGCTAGAAATAGCTCGGCTAGGCTCGGCTACCCTTGCGGACTCTGAACGCAGTGAGTCATGGGACCGACGGCGTAGCGAGGTCTGCCCCGTATAACCCGATAGCGAATGTAACCGGCGCAACCTTTTTGAGAAAAACGGGCGAGGGACCAAGTGGCACACATCAGAAATTTCGCAGTGCGCTGGGAAGAGTCTAAGGCCACAAAATATGAGCTTAAAATGTTCACGGTAAGCGTTCGGTCGACTTTGCGCAAATTGTTGCGCTAAATGCAATCGTCATCATCATTAAAGTCGATCGCGCTCGGGCAGTCACTCCCCAGGTACTATAGTGGATCTGTAGTTCAATGAGTCATAGGTGAACGGTAGCGGCGACGGACTTGCCAGGTATCAATCAGATTCCTAAGTGCCGCCCCAGTTAGGGTATTGCGGTCGACATCGTACGACCACGGACGTTGCGGACCATTGCGGTTGGACACCATGAGGAGTTCCCCCTCCTTCGGCCAACCCACTCGGCCTGTATAGTCTTGGATAGTGCATGTAACCGGCTCGAGAATTTTGAGGATACGCAAGACGAGAACATATTTGTTCGCGTGCTCAGGTAAGGTGGAACGTTCAAAGCACGCGACACCAGTACCTAAGAATCATGAAGAGGAGAAGGCAAGGACGGGCGTGAAGGTATACCAGTAAAGGGAAACAGTCTCTGGCGCCGTGTCCGTGATACTACCCATTCAGCAAAGACCTTGAGTTGTACTGCATGAACGGCAGTGGGTCCCACAATAGCTAAACACAATGACATCTGGAAATTGACCAGAAAGGGATGATGAAGGCCAAAGACCGTCAGGTCGGGATGAGTGTTGCTTCGATCTCCGAAAATCGTGCGAGAACGCGACAGCAGGGCGTCAGTCACCATCCCCTCGCGGAGCAATTGATCACAGAGGCGCGCGTACATCTTCCGTGCCGCGATCTGAGGAACAGTAATTTTCCACGGCATTCCTGCTGGCGTGAGCAAGTCTTGTCCATGATCAAACGAGGACGGTGCATTGTCCGTGGTAGTGCGTAAGCGGACACTTCCAGCCAGGGGTGAATGATTCGGATCGGAGTGATAGTAGAGGAAGCCACGGCTATCGACCGGAAATGGTTTTTTTTTGGCCTCTAGCTGGGCGTACGTGAGTGGAGAACCATCACCGGCGCCCGAGTAAATGAAGGAAACTGCGAAGCTCGAGTGATGCGACATGTCGACGAAGTCAGCAGGCTGTAAAAGAGCGGGATCCAGGGATGAAATTTCGCGTCGGAGTTTGCTCCCCTGTTCTCTGGTTCACAATTTTCAACAAGTACATCTTGAGCCCACAAAGATGACTCTGAGCTTACCGGCGACGAGTCTTGGCAGTCCCGTAGCAGTGACTCCAGAGGGGAATGCGCCAGGGTAGGAAGGCATGGACATTTCCCAAAAATGAGCCAATTTCAAGGAGGGGTTGTACCCGCAGCATGGATGTCGCGAGACAGGAAGAGACAAGGCGCTATTTGACGCTATTTGACCCTTCATGATCAATGACAGGGCAGTTCCCACGCCCCCTTTCCCCTGTGCTGCAGCCGTGCAGCGGAGCGTTGCTGGCAAGCTGCTGGCGCCAGGAAATTCTGGAGCTTCAATTTCTTGTTCAGTAAGAATATGAATGCCTCTCTTATGGAATTCCGTATTCATAATTTATCAATATCGAAGAAAGGGCGCGGAAGGTTCTAGTTCTACACAAGTAGTCCGGTGTCTTCCGTTTAACAAACTTTATTTTTTTATCAAGTATTGGCAGGAACAAAAACCTCAAGCTCTTCGTATAACGCTGTAGCAGCCAAGTAACCTATTTATGAGGAGTGGGAACTGTGGAAACTGCGTATTTTGGGAGTCCCAAAGAGTCAGCAGCAACACGAGTCGTGGGGTCGATATCATTTTGTTGTAGGACACTCCGAGCGGCGTCGTAATGGTGCCTTTCCCATGCACGACCTGATCCACGTGCGCTGAAGTTCTGCTCGATTCGGAAGTCGGAAGCCATATAAGGAGCTTTTCGATGAGGTTCAACAGACCAGAATGCAGTTGGGCTTGAGATGACACCGTCTGCATCCACAGGAATGTTTTCAACAGAGACGTAGATTGCCAGAGGAAGTTTCTTCACGTCGTATGTTCCCTCCTCGAGAATTAATGCCCAGTCGAGGTTGACGAAGAATAATTCGGCTGAGTTGAGCATAAGTACGGACCATTGCGTTCAAGGAAATGTAGGCATACCAATCAGCATATCATGAAAATCCCACCCCAGTTCTAACAGATTGGACTGGCGAATCACAGATTCCGCATGAAGCAACCACGATGTGCGTTGGTTTTCGATCTCCGCAACTGGCATGTAAACACTGCCGAATGTGGAGAGGAAATATCCCGGACGGTCACCCATCCTCAACTCGACTTCAAAGCTGGCAGATAGATAATGAGAATTGCACCAAAATTGACCGAAATTTGAACACGAACGAAGTCCATCCAGGGAACTCTTCAAAGACGCCTCCTCTGGCAGTCCAATCTTCGATGTATATTTCTCTCTCCGCAGTTGAAACATCTGCGATCGTGTGCACGATTTCGAGATCCCCCGGCCGTTGGAGATAAATTGATCCAACCTTCAACGGCTGGTCATCGCTGCTCGCTGAGAGTCCGCGGTATCTTGAGAGATTACCCATTTTTGAACAGGCAGCAAGGACATTGGCTGCACCATTCACTCGCATACGCAAGTGACCTGATGTGCAGAGATCGAGACGTTCATGAGGTAGACGGGCCAAGCATCCACAGGAACTGAACCATGCGTGAACAGGACCCCCGTCATGTTTTTCTTGCTAAGACGCTGTAAGTGAAAAATACGCAGCGAGAAATGAATAAGATTGCCGTGACAATGACGTCGGTATCATCAGTGTTGTATGGCAAGTGAGAAATGAGGAGCGTCCCCGTTGATCGTCTGATGAGGGCCAAATCCGCGACTACTTCTCTGTAGTCAACGTCCACCACTCCGACCAATGTTGAAATGTGGGAAAATGCAGACTGCAAAACCCGGTATCAGTTATTCTCGTGGTCTGCACACAGAACAAGTACACGCCATAAAATTCTGGATCTACAGGAGGAATAAATAAGCAGAATGACAATTGGAAATGAGTTACAGACGATCTTGAGCTCGAAGTCTACAGATATCATCGGGGAAATAAAGCTCGTCGCATAAACATCGATGGGTACGAGTTCTGGGCCGCATGGTTGCAAACAATTTCGCCAAGAGTGTATATAAGGGACGCACCGTCGTGGAAGATTAGAGCTTTGAATCGGGGAGAAGTGCACATCCCATATATTTGTGCGACACCCGGAACACTTTCTTTCAAGTGAGAAAAACTTTTCAAAAGTCAAAATTGAAGTCCAGATACCGTAAATTGGCTGAAAACATGTCAAGGTCCCACTTCCACATCTCCGCAGATGGATTCGTAAGTTCTTCATGCAATGCAGCCGCGGAAACCAACACACCTGACTCGCACGCGCACCCTCATATATTCTGACCGTCGTAGCCTTGGCTTCCCCGACTTTGGCAAGGTAGCTGCGCACTAAGACTTGATCCGCCTTTGCAGAGCCGGGGGGGTCTTCTCGAAGGGATACAACGCCTACATTCACTGTTTCAAAATCCAGCCATAACTCGCTCGGCTTGAAGACACGAATCTGGATCTGCGGTGTGAGACTGAACGAACATGGGCACAGCGAACTAACATCCTCTTCCGATGAGACACGAGAGAAGGCGGAGTGCAGTTCTCGGACTCTTTGGTGTGTATCCGTTATCTGGAAGTTCGACCCAATTGCGGCGGCAAGCTAAATATAATTTTGTCGGTGACATCTGTCGGTCGCATGGTGGGCTCCTAGTCAACGCACCGTTAGATCAGCCCGAAGGTCTGTCAGCTTCCGGGTAAATTCATCCAAGTTATTACGGATACTCCTTTCTTTGAGATATTTCTTGAACCAAAATTTCGGTTTCGGAGCAAGAACTTTATGAAGCTCCTCCGCGACATTATCGAGATATCTGACCAGGATGAAATAAATCAAAAATCAAAAATAGTGTGATAGCACACCGAATATAATCCTTGCACAGTTTCTCAAGGCGGTTGTCGGCGCCATTGGGTCGGGATCTCAACTCGTCGTTCAACAAACTGGTGATATTGATGACGGATTCTGCGAGGTATTTGAGATCTGTGTCATTCTTGCCTACTCTCTGTTTGAAATGAATGAGACATCTCGTTCTGTGGCAATAGGCTTGAGCGCTGACCTCGACCAGATCCAGAATCATCACCGCGCCTTCGAAGACGGCCTGGAGGCCCGGAACCGGAACAGCCGCACTAGTCACGCGCAGTGTGGTCGCCACGAGTTTTAGATTAGAGACCCAGGCCAGAACTGCATTCGGCTGGCGTTTCATTGCTCCTTTGTTCTTCACGAGTGGGAGAAGGAAGGAAGATTGTGGTTTCACTGAATCACGTAAAGCCAGGCTGCCCAATGCTGTGTAACAGGAACGAGGCCCAGACAAGCACAGATGTCAAGGGGATGTACGGCATTCCAGAAGATTGGCAGCAGATGCGAACAGACTCGAGGGCAACTCGAGGGAGAATGTTTCCAAGAGCAGCAGATTTGAATGCAGACCCCGAGTCGATGCGGATGGAAGGCTGCTGCACGGGATTGCAGTCGCTCAGTCTCGTTGTTTTGCGCCGTCGACCAACTCCAATTTCTGTAGTGGCCTTGAGTAGCCCACTGTGCCGCACATCTCCGGGCAAATCTCAAGGATTGCGGATCAAACCGGAGGAGGATTGGCAGTGGTCCGATTACTCCCTCATTCAGATCAAAGTGTTCCAACGTTCAAATTCTGAGTCCGGGCTCCAGCATTTCAGAAAATGAGGGTTTCACGGCCAGCAATGTAGTGCTAGATTCCTGAAATTTCCTGTGTGTAGCATTTGGCGAGGGCAGTAGCTTATTGAAGTTCGGGTACGGTGGCAAGATGCTTGAAGACAAGGACACAATTGGCAAGGTTACACCTGCAATATTGTGCAGCATACCCTAAGAAGACAATAAATGCTCTTTTGGATGTTGTATTTCCTCGACGACAATAAACATGGCCAATGGAAACCGGCTACTGAACAAGGACTTGCAAGATATATAAAGGCCTACCGAAGTTCCAGGATTTACCCGCCACCAAATATGCTTGCACCTGTCTCGACAGAGTGGGTTTTCAATCATCTCATTCATCCCATATGCGCAGTGCTCACTGACGGGTTTCCCAGAATCATTGACCAGCCCAGAATCATTGGCAAGCAAGATGCAAGCCCCGCGGCCAAACTCCGTCGAAGATCCAGACACGACTGGTTCGACATCTTCTGCATGATGGCGCAGCTCGAGGGGAAGAAATGTCTCCACGTCCCCATTGCCATGACCCGAAGCACGGGAGCAGCGGAGGCGGTAGACATTTTAAGGGTCGATAACAGCACCATCCAATTCCCGAAGTGGTACACCGACCCCGTCTGTGCGCTGGTGCAGATGAAGCGCCAATCGACGCAGGAAATAATGCATGTGTTCATCGTGCCGATTAACAAAGCGGCGGTTATCGCTCCACCGGGACAGTGGCCCGCGTTGAGTGTGAGGTTCCCGGTGACGGACGTTGAAGAAGGGCCGGGATCGAAAACGTTGATTGGGTTCAAGGGCACGACGGAAGAAGGGGGGGAGTACATGATGGCTAGTTTAGATTTTGAGGGCTGGCCGCAGTGGATGGTATCCAGAAGTTGAATTATGACTCGTAAACCACCAATCGTCGGCGCCACAATGAAAAGACGTCAGGAAATTCGCAGGAGGAATTTTCTGGGATATACAAGAACTGGAGGCCAAAAATTATATGGTTTCTTGACTCTTGATCGAAGCTTGATCTTGGGCTTACTATCCCAGCCCAATCCCAGCCGATGTTGGTCAATGCAGGCCTGAGGCGGGTGAATCAAGCGGTATCCGCGTCCGCGTTCTCAGCCAACCGGTAGCTTGCGATTTCAAAACCAGCAACAACGTGCCAAGTCAAAGAAAGGCAAACTTAGCTAGAGAAGCGACGGGTCAACAACAAAGGCAAACATACCACCTGCCGGCAAACAATCTTGCCGGTCCGGAAAGAAGCTTGCTCCGAACCTTCAAGTTGTACAGACATTCTCCCGACGTTCTCCCAACACCCTCACACGTAACGTATACTGCTTGGACGTAGCATGGAGCGCTCTGGCTCGTGCCTCTGCCGCAAGGTCCGCTTCACCACCATTGGCGAGCCCTTCACGTACACAGTCTGTCACTGCACCAACTGCAAGAAGTTCAGCGGGTCCGCGTTTATGTCCAATGCGTTTTTTAACTCTGCTGTGAGTCCGCCGCACCGTATGATTCAACCCAGGCGCAGTTCCTTGTGCTCATAGATAGTGATTGTATAACTGAACGTTTTATCCTCCACCAATTGATTCATAGACTTTAATTGATACTCATACACGCACGTATTCTAGAAGGTCACCGTCACCGCAGGCAGCGATCTGGTGCGCGAGTACAACGACAGCGCGACCACGAGCGGCAACGCACTAACACGCTCGTTCTGCGCGGAGTGCGGGTCCTCGCTGTTCCTCGCGCCGACTACGAACAAGACGTTGGTCATTATATGCGCGTCTGCGATGGACGATGCGCATGAGTGGGGTGAGTCAAGAATTCTGGATCTGACTTGCTGTGGTTGTGATTTCCGCGCTGCTGTGATCCAATCGCGCCGCTGCCGCTCACTAGTCCTTTATCGCGTTTAACACTCATTGATACGTCCATCCTCTAGTCCCCCGCCGCGAAGTGCATCCCGAGCGGAAGTGGGACTGGGTCAAGGAGCTTGAAATACACAATCCGAAGAAGAGCAAGCTGTGGTGCGTCCGTCTTGCTGGCTGTTGATTTATTTTTGTTTATCGCTTCCGAATAGATTTAGCTCCATCACACCGTGCTGAATGGATAGATGAATCATTTATTAGATGGACTCTGAATGAATCATGGTTACATTTTATCTTATTATACATATATCACCACGACAGTTGCTCACTCTCGGTCTGTGAGATTTGTTCTGGCAGATATACTGCCAAGTCTAATGTTCTGATGTTCCAACCTATTCCTGCGAGGCAAGTGTTAGTTAATACACAGAATTCTGTGCCACAAGCAAAGGGGTCAGCCTACAATATCAGCGTCCAGTTCCACCTCGTTGCTTCCTGGGGTTTTTTCTAGTAAATTTGCATCGGTACCATGCCCAATCAGCCATTGAACCTCGGTGTTGTGATTATTATTAATTGCGGCAGCTTAGATTGCGCTTCCGTATTCTCCACCCTGAGCATTCACGCTGGCACTATTCTCTATGAGGGGCTGGATTACTTCTTTGTGCCAACGGAAGGAAGCCACCTGCAATGCATTCCCACAGAACCCTCGTTCACTAGGGAATTTGAATCGTGAATGTGGAATTGCTTAGATGGTATATAATAGCCACCCCGGCGCTTGCGCCTTGAACAGACGACGGGAAGAGAAGAAAATTGGTAATTCCGTACGCGAGATCTGCATATGCATGGGCGCAGGGAGTGCGAGGTAGATTTGGGTGAGAATTCTTGAGGCGTGCGTTGAACCAATCTTGTGAATCTTCAATCTATCAATCATCAACCACAGCCAGGTTTGACTTATTTTTTATATTGATAAAGCATTAGTGGGGTAGTGGTAACCTGGGTCGTTGCCATCACAAGGTCTGTCCTGATCTCGACCCGCCGGGAGTTCGATTCTCTCCTAATGCATCCTTTTTTGGATTTTTCAGTCTTCTTTTTTTGTTTTTGTTTTTGTGGAGTGAAACTTAAGTCTACTTGCTGAGCACAATTGGCGAAACTGTGAGGTCATTCACTGCAGGTATATGTCAATGAGCTCCAGGCACATTTAGTCTAAGGCGATTATCCCGAGAAGCCAGAGAGGCCAGTAACATCCCTAACAGGTAGAGCAACGGGGTCAAAAGTCGGATTACTTATATATGTACGCCTTTCGTTCCACCATGCCAGAAGTAGGCTGTCTGTCTACGGAAGGACACTGTGCCGAGTTCTCCTTCCCTGAGCTTAGACCGAGAGTCTTTATAAAAAACGTGTCAGGATGCTGGACTGAGAATGCAGTGGATTAAATTCGCGCACTGGAAGACAACATGCGCCGACAGGGATGCACTTGAGAAGTGTCTACGTTTGGTGTCTTGCTGACGTGGTGTGCTCGGTCGTCATTACAGCCCCTCGCCCGTTGGTCGCTTAACGATTAACGAGGTATCTACATACATGCATACATACATATATCTATAGATCTGTGATTCGATGAGCGCAAGCCCACCAGAAGTGGCTACAGACTCACCATATCTCAACTAAGCTCCTCCCAGTCCGGGTCTTCCGGTCGACGTCGTACGCCCACGGTCGCGGCGGCCCATCACGGAAGGACGCCATGAGGAGCTCCCCAGCCTTCGGCTAACCCATGCGCCCGGCGTAGCCCTGGATCGTGCACGCAACGGGCTCGAGAATCTCAAGGATGCGCAGGAGGAAGACGTGTCTTCCCGCATGCACAGAGAGCGCGGAGCGTTCGAAGCAGGCGACGCCGGTGCCTAATAATGCTTGAGGAACATGAGCAGGAGGGGCGCGAGGCGCGAAAACATACCGGACGGCTGAGGTCACGGCGACGTGTCTCGGCTATCTCGGGTATCCACTCAGTGGGGGGCTGCAGCTCCGTTTCGTGCGCGGCGGCGGGCCCGACTATGGTCAGACACAGGGACGTGCCGAGGTTGACTAGGAAGGGGTGCTGCAGGCCCCAGGCGGTGAGTTCGGGGTGGATGTTGCGACGATTAGCGAAAATGGCGCGACAGCGCGGCATGAGCGCTTTTGGCGCCATGCCCTCGCGGAGGAGTTGTTCGCGGAGGCGGCGGAATTTCTACGTGGTCGCGATCTGGGGGATGCCGATTTGCCACGGCATTCCCGAGGGCAGGCGCATGTCGTGGCTGTGGTGGAAAGAGGACATGGCGTTGTCTGTGGTGGCGTAGACGGATGCCCTCAGCCTGGGGCGAGAGCGCCGGGTCTGAGGTAGAGAAAGCCGCGGGAATGCGGTGGGAACGGCTCCACACCCGAGTTGGTGTACTGATATGCGATTTCGGCACCGGGACCCTTGCCCCGCGCGAGTGCGTGAAGGAGACGCAGAAGGTCTTTCGGTGCGAGAGGGCGAGGAAGTCGCTGGGAAAGATGAGGTGGGGGTTCAGTGTAGATATCCGGACACCGAGAAAGCGGCCATCCTGTGCCCTGGAAAGATGTTCAACGAGCATCTGCCCTGCGAGCTCCGAGGAAGATCGCGTACCGCTGCTGTGCAGGCTTGGCCGTCGTATAGTGGCGAGTGTGAGGCCGGAACACCCATCGGGCGCGGAACCTGTAGCCGCGCAAAATCACGCGGGGGGTGCCCAGCATCACAACGGGAGGTGGTTGACGATGAGAGGGAGGGAAGAACGACGCGATGTTTGGTGGTGTTGTGCTCGTCTCACAGCAGTCTCTTGATCCCATCCTCCACCACATCGACTTGCTTAACAAGCGAGGTACGAGCTCCCTCCATTAAACCGTCTGTCTAGGAGAGACTCCCGACTCGCACGTTGTTGGTGGTATAGATGCATCCCGCCCTAGAGATTCCCGAAATCGTGGAACTGATATGTGACACTGTTGTCGACGACCAGTGGTGGCGCCGCGAAACTTCGCTATTAGCGCTGGCGAAAACGGCCACCACCTTCACTCATAGCGCACTCAATGGTTTATGGGAGCAACAAAGCACGCTCGTTAATGTCTTGCGCTGTCTGCCCGCAAATCTGCTTTCGGATAACGGCAGCTCTTTTGTGAGTACATGTAAATCTGCTCGCCAAAGCCATCCTAGACAACATATTTGTATCCAGCATTTGCTTCGCCCAGTCACGCAGAGTGATTTGGAGCGCCTCCTGGTCCATTCTGCGCGCGTTAAGATCCTGCAGTTGGCCTCAGACGCGGTCACTCCCGCGATATTCGGTCTGCTGGAGCAAATACAGCCCTTTCTTCCCCAGGGTTTCCTGTTTCCTAATCTTCGAGGCATTCATTTTTGGGGACCAACAGAACGGGAAAGGCGATTATTCGGTCCGCACCTTCGACTGTTTCTACCCGTCAGTGTCAGGGAGCTTTCCCTGGACCTCGAAGTATTCGGCACTTGTTCCCTCCTCCCCCTCATATGGCCCTTAAATTCCTCATTCAGATCAGTGACTCTCGGCATGGACAGGTGTCCAAACCACGTAGAACGTAGCCTCATTTCGACGTTTTTACGGGTATTAGATCAAGTAACGTACCTGTTCCTACCCACGCTTGATCCAGCGGCACTCGAACATCTTGGAAGCCTCCCTACTCTCAAATCTCTCGAGATAGCAAATGCAGATGCCCACGATTTACTTCCTGGATTCATTCGGCCGGCCGGTTTCCCTTCGCTCACGAGGCTTTGTTTTTATAGAGCGCCATTTGAGTTCATTGCCGCCCTCATAGACGGCCTATCAAACAGCCCAGTCGCGAGCCTCTATCTCTCCAGCACCGAACTACCCACCGAAAGTACCATGCGTGCTCTCTGCCTCACACTCTCCACACACATCGCACACAGCGCGCTTGTCGAGGTTGTTATGCAGCAACTGGTCATCGACGACACCTCGGACGTGCGACATATTTTTGACATTCACGCGATCTCCCCCCTATTCTGTTTCGGCCGCATCCAGACGCTTAATTTGGAAGCCCCAGGAGGATTCAAATTCGATGATGCCGCGGTGTGGGACATAGCGCGCGCATTCCCCGCGCTGCAGCTGCTCTCGTTGACATCATCTACTGAGATATTTTGCGTGCCTGGAGTGACACTCGGCGGGCTCCGCGCATTCGCAACGCACTGCCCGCATTTGGGCAGCATGCGTATTGCATTTAACGCAACGGTTATCCCGCCTGCCTCCACCGCCCCCGACATCTTCCAGACAACACTCTCATTCCTCGAAGTCCTCAACTCGCCGATTTCACCCGAGCCGGCGCTGGCCGCGCGCTTCCTCTCGGGGATGTTCCCCAGCCTGGTGAATGTCATTAGCAATCGCTACGAAGTGCAGCCGGGCTTCACCGCCGAGGACTGCGAAACTTGGAGCCAGGTCGAGGCTCTGCTACCCTTGTTTGCTGATGTACGCCCGGGAGGAACGGCTCAGGGTAGCGTGACCACAACGCGTGTTTAATAGCTCTGTTGAATCAAGTTATCTATGTAATGTTGAGGTAACAAGCTATACGCATCCTCTCTCCTTATATGGACTCTTCCATACGTAGATATCGGACATTTACTTATTTACCGTAGTAACCAAATATTTTCTATTTGCATACGTGTACATCTCAGTTGGTCTTACGCCTACTGAGATGTACGTTCCCTCCTTATATTCATACGTACCTATTACTGACTCTACTTAGTATCTTTATTGTTCTAGGTACTTACATTAATATATCAGTTGGTCTTACGCCTACTGAGATTATCTTTATTGTTCTAGTGCTCCCGTACCTCTGCGCTCTAGAGGTTATGGGCCCCGGATCCGATTTCAGCAACATGTCGTCTTCACAGTTAAAAATAACCAGAATCCCCAAGCTCCAGGACGATGGTTCAAACTGGGGCAATTACAAGGAACTCGCGATGAATACTATTATTGCAAGAGGCCTACGACGACACGCTATCGGTACCGCTAAAGCACCACGAAAGCTCACGCAGCGAGACGGCGAATGGTTCCTGCCCAACCGGCTAGCGCCGCTCTCTGACGATGAGCTGGAGGAGCACGAAAACAGCGTGGACGAGTACATGCAGAAGCAAGCTCAAGTCCGCGAGATCATCTATCAGTCCGTATCTCCGGCCACGTTCATGCGCATCAAGCACAAGGCCACTGCGCAGGAAATGCTGCAGGCACTCGTGGCAATCTTCGAGGGCAAGGGGGAGATGGTCCAAATCGACACACTCACCCGTTTGCAAAGTCTGCGATGCCCCGAGGACGGAGACGTGATTCAGCACATCACGGAGATGAAGCGCCTCAAGGAGGCCCTCGACTCAATGGGGGCATCCGTAGCGGACGCACAGTTCGCCGCCTACATCAAAGCCTCACTGCCAATCGAAAGATTCGGCGCACTCCTCAGCACCATCAGCACCGCTTCCCGAATCGCTGGACGACCCATCAACAGCGAGGCGTTGATCCAAGAGATCTTCGAGACAGCTGACGAGAGTACCGTTCACAAGAACTCGTCGTCATACGCCGAGAACACCGCAATGGCGGCGTCAGGGAAGGGTAAAGGGCGTGGAAAGGGAGGCAAAGGCGACTCCAAGAAAAACGTAACCTGCGATAATTGTGGACACAAGGGTCACATTAAACGCGATTGCTGGTCGAAAGGGGGAGGCAAAGAGGGCCAGTCGCCGTGGAAGAAAGAAAAGAAGAAGGCCTCCGAGAGCGCTAATAGCGCCTCGAAGGACGACGACGACGACGATGTCGACGTTGCGTGCACAATTGTCTCCGAAGACTTTGTCGATGACGATTCGGGAGACTGTGCCCTATTTATAACCTCCGACTTCCGCGACATCGACGATGGTAACGGCGAGGCTCAGGCCTTGGCCGCGGCAGCGCCCCACAAGCCCAAAGACATTCTTATTGACGCCGGCGCGACGCGCCACTTCTCCCCGGACCGTGACCGCTTCAAAAAATTTGAAGAAATCACGCCGGTCCCCATAC